ACGCGAAACGAAAGGCGAAAAAGTTGAAAGAAAGTTCAGAAGAGAAGAAGTTGAAAGGTCCAACGGGGAGACACCTTTCAAGTTCTTGCTCGTCAATTTTTATTGCCACCGCGAATCTCGAATCTCGAATCTCGAATCTCGCTGTTGCACGTACCTTTTTTTAGCCCGAGAAGAAACACGTGGATATAATTGCTTTGGGGAAAATAAAAGTACTGGTCGTGTTTTCGGGATCACCCTGTACGTGACTCGATCGATAATTCGACGCAAGCTGCTCGGGGGATCGACATCTGCACGCGATTCGCCACTCGGGGAGACTACTTTGTTAAATATTCAACCGGTCGTTCCTCCCCGTGGCGACCATCTTTTCTCACGCGATCTCGCGTATCGCGTGTAATTGAAAACGATATTCCCGATTAGTTCTGCCAAATTATTTTAAGCGAGATCGCTAGTGGGACGGTTTAGGTGATCCTTAACCTATATACAAATTGTACTACAAATTATGTAGGTTATGTATACATATATTAGGGGTTAAGGATCTTCTTCTTTATAATGTACGTAACATAACCTACATAATTTGTAGCGTGGAGTACAATTTGTATATAGGTTAAGGATCTTCTAAAATGTCCCAATAGTTCTCTCACTTTAAATGTATACATAACCTACAAACGTAACCGTGTTTGTGGAAAAAGTTTTTAATTGAATAGAGGTATGATAATCCTAGGAATAATTTAGTGAAAATGGCACCTATTCTAGTAATATTCATTAAAAGATTTTCTTTATTTCAACAGGGAAGGAAAAATAACGAAAGTTTGTTGACAAAATTACAATTCTGAACTGAAATACGTCCTCATGACGAACTTTGCCAGTTTTATACATAACCTACGAAAGACATTCTCAATAAAATGGAGATACGACAATCCTATGAATGAATTAATTGAAAATGGCACCTATTCTAGTAATATTCATTAAAAGATTTTCTTTATTTCAACAGGGAAGGAAAAATAACGAAAGTTTGTTGACAAAATTACAATTCTGAATGGAAATACGTCCCCGTGGCGGGCTTCGCCAGTTTTCTTCGAAAGTTTTGGGCCTGATCGAAAGTAATCGCGACCAGAATGGCGATTAACGTTCCCCCGTTGGTGGACTTTCGGTCGAACTTCGCCGATGCAAGAAGCGGTTTCGCGAGAATCGCTCGCCAGGCGATCCGCGTTGGAAAAACTGGTCCCAGTCGTCCTGGCGTTTTTTCTCGTCCCGGGGAGCATACTTTCCTCGTTGCCTGGCGACTTGAAATTTTATTCTACCGCGCCTATAGCGCTGGCGAACGTCCCAGCGAATAATTTTTTTTTTTTTGCCTGGAATATTACAAAGCATCTCTGAACCTGGGAAAACTAAACGTCGGTGAATAAATCACTTGCGAACGGACGAATGGGTAATATAATTTTATCTAATTTTGTGCCTTGTCAGCGACTGATTGCGCTTCTTACCGTGACTATTTTAAAACTGCAACAGGGGGAGTCTGTATGGACTGATAAGAAAGCCAAATACGAGATAATACTGAGATTTATGTGTCTTCTATTTGCATTAAAATTTACGACCGTATTAAAAACCATAAGATGACTCGACATTTACACAATTTTTTTTGTATTCCATTGCAAAGTCTGAGAATTCGTAACAGTTAATTATTTAAATTTATATAAGCTGTTGTATCAAAAATATTGTAATTATTTGTAGAAAGACATGGAACTATTCTGAAACGAATGTTAGGAAAGAGCGTACACCGAATTGCATTTACCTATCGCCGAATCTGCATTGCAGGGCGAGTAACGGTGCATCTTGTGCATCTTGTGCGTCTCGTTGCATGCGAAATGCACTCGCGGAACAACCAATCCACGACCTTGACGAAATACAGAAGAATCGAATGCACACAACTCTTCTCAAACCACGTAATCGTGCATTTCTCGAGAAATCCAAGTAACACGAATTACATAATTACAGACAAGTCTTTCGATTATTGTTATTTTTAACGATTTCATAAGTTTCACTTTTAGTGGGGGATTTTAGAGGCCAAAATAAGACGAAAATCAAGAATATCAATTTTTCGTTTGAGCCTTCGTTAAGAAGTTATTAACACCTGCGCCTGAATTGTGCGCAGGTTGCCTATCTTCAGGCGCAACTGTTAATAACTTTTTAACGGAGCCTCAATTAAAAAATTGCTATTCTTGATTTTCGTCTTATTTTGGGCTCTAGAATCCGCCATTAAAATTTTTCCCAGGACTGAACACCCCGTATAATATTCTAATTAAAATAATATTGATCTAGTTTCAGTTTTACGAAATTACGGAGGAACAAATTAGAAAGCCGCCGAATACTTCGAGGAAACGTTTCGAAAAAATTTTGCAACATCGGCTTTCCTTTTTGCCAGGCTGATAATTAATCAGAGTGATAAATTATTCAACGAAGACACAAAAATTATTCGCAAAACGAGGAATTCCGGGGTAAAAGTTTCACTGACTGGTATATATACGTGCATATTGTATATATATGGCCGCATAATATATCGTTTTCCAACTATAACGTGCATTTCGTCTCGGTCTACGGCCGCCTGCGCTAAGTGCAGTTATGGTTGCCCGTTTCCTAGCTTCCTCGATGCACCGTTTTTTCGCCACTCACCGGGCTCGAAAATTCTATTACACAGTCCGCGGTTATGGTCGTAACGCTACTTTTTGTTTGTAGCAAAATTCACAGCGTTTTTAGTACTGTGGCGGTCACCGGTGACCGTCATAGAACTTCTCGTTCACGCCGTGACGGTCACCGGTGACCACCATACTAATAAACGCGTTAAAATACTGCAAATTTTACCTAATTTTAACAAGAGTGATGTTGTAACACTACTTTTTGTTTATAGTAAAATTTGTAACATTTTTGGCACTGACGGTCACCGGTGACCGTCAAGAGAAGTTTTCGTTCACGCCGTGACGGTCACCGGTGACCACCATACTAGTAAACGTGTTAAAATACTGTAAATTTCCCCCTATTCCATCAACAGTGATGTTTCATAATTGATATTCTCATAAAAATCATTCTCATACGTAATACAACACGAGCGTGACGCGCGCGAATGTGTTTTGTGTGTTATGGTTGGATTCCACACGAACGTTCCAAGAAAACGATGTAAATATATCCATGAAATACACAAACCTCGAGAATTGTGTTCCGCAAAGGTCACGCGTCAAAATGTAAACAATTTTCGATCGAAAATGGTCCCTACAGACGCTAACACGATCGAAGTGAGTCGCCACGCGCTATAAATTAAATAAATAAAAAGTATCTCGGAATTAATTTCCATTCCAGATTTATTCGGGCTTCCCATCGATTACTTTAATTAAATCATCGAGGTAACGACCTCAATTCGCGTAAATTAAATCCTCCTAGAAGTCCCACGACCTGTTTATTATTTAGAGTACCGTTTTCATTTTACCGAACGGTACTCGGCGTTACGAAACGCATTTTTTTCTGCCCGTTTTACGCAACGAGCGTCCGAAGATTGATTCGCGACGCCTATGGCGTCGCAAATCAGAAATACCGAAAGGGAAATCCCAAATAACGACTCGAATTCCAACAAAACTTATCAACTTCGATCGAAAGACAAGAAATAAATCAGCTTTCAGTCGAAGAGTTGATAAAATAGTTTCGCCATGGATTAACGTATCCACTTGTACCGTTTAAAATTTAGTTTAAGCTTGGAAAATTATTTTTAAGGTATCGAATTTTGTTATCTTGTTCGACAATATAACAATCGAAGGCTATAGTTCTTAGTACACTTATCTTCGAGATAAGGCTAGGGATTAGTGTTTATTGTTTGAAGAAGAGATTCCAAGGGCATCATGTTCGTGTAAACGTTGGATAGAGGTTCTAAGAAAATAAGTACAGAAAATTGTTAAGCATTTTGTGTGTTCAGAATTTTAATTAAATAATTACTAATTAATATTAATATTAAAGTTTGTAGATTTCAAGTACGAAGGAAACTTAACCTCTTCAGGGACGTGAAGAGGTTAAGTTTCGATAATATTTTATTAATTCCTGAGTTTTCTGAAACGTTTCTACTTGCAAGGTTGAATAAAAGATAAACGAAACTTTATCACGAAATAAATTGTTTTCCAGATTTACCTGAACCGCGATAACGAAAAGTTGTAAAATTGTGCAACGTTGCAACCGTGAAAATTTTGCACAATTTTGCACTCGTTTATTATAATCTTCAAAACATTAAATGTTACCTAATTTAAGGCGGAAGTTTTTGTCGAAAGTGAAAAATATAATAAATATTTACGTGTTTGGTCTATGAACGAATTTTTTATGAACGAATTCGTTATCAACGTAGTGTAGATTCTTTATCTATATAGGTGAACTTGTCGATGCATTTTAACTGATTCGAATGGACTTGAAATATGTCGATAAGATCATTATTTTAATAGTTGCAAGATTTCTCCTTATAAAGATCGACACAATGTATACTGTTACACTAAATACGCGTCTGGGCAGCGTGGCTATTCGGTACACATCGCTTCGTTGCGACGATCGGCATCTTTTATGTTTGTATAACGGATAAACCCAACGATAAATTTAATCTTTTCGCGTGGCGGACAAAAAACAAACCGAAACCTACGCGATTCCATGAAAACTACAGAATACATTCTATAATATCAATTTAAACCGGCTAATTAAACTCTTGCGGGTAAAAATCACGGAAACTAGAGCCGACCAACGCCAAATGTACGAGGAAAAAGATTGCAATTAGACTTCTTTTCACCTTTTCAAAACAAGGTTAATACTGCATTAATCTAAATTTTCTTTTCCATTTTTTTTACGTATAAAACAGCAAATCAACACGCTAACATTATTATTGATATCTTCGACGTTGTTAAAGTTATTGAAAGCTAAAATAGTCTTTTCAGGGAATTTATCATAATTTTTAAAAGATCGGGAAAACGTGATCGACTCACCTCGCGATTAAGTCGTCATTCCGATCATCGAAGTTCTCTGCTATAGTTTCCCCCTCACAACAACTGACACTTCCCTTCCACCAACAGTTTCGGTTATTTTAGTTAGAGGAATACATTATTTTCGCGATCACGATCGAATGGAATTGAAATCTTTTTGGTTAGTTACGTCGATGAAGCCCACGTGACAAACACTTTACAACGAAACTTCACTCCCGAAGCGCGGGACAGCGACTGAAGCAGCTGCCTTCGCGTTCGACCGTCGTAGTTCTTCGCGATACTTCGGGTACCTCCGTCGGCGCTCGGTAACCTCCGTCATTCTTCGCGCCTAAACTGTTATCGTGGATCACTTGAACCCCTAAATGGTAACTATTATTTATATTTCACATATCAATAGGGTAAACAACCCTCGATTCACTGATTCTATTATTCTAGACTTTTTCATCGAATCTGATCATAATCACTGTTCCGAAACGTTATTTCCTCTTTCTTTTGTTATTTACGTGTTTACGTTTTTGTGATCTCCTTCTTGTCTTTATTATTTGTTTTGGAGATGTATTCCTTAATTTCTGTGTATCGTATGTATATACTACACACAATTAACGACCATTTGTCTTTGCTTTTTATTTTTCAATAATAAAAGCCTATGATTAATTGTATAATCATTTGATTAAAATATTCGATTACAGATGTGTTTCTTTCGCAGTAATTTTGCAATAAACGATTGATTTGGCAATGAGAAAGTTACGTCGTCGGCTTTAGAGCCTCGATTGATCGTAAAACCGCATCCAAGTCCCTCGTTTTACATTCTCGATTACACTCGCGTACTCTGTCACGAATATCCGTTACATTTACGCGAAGAAAAAGACTTTCGTCGGTGCAATTACGCCGCGAACCATTAATTACCTGTTATTCCCCAGCGATTTATGTTTACTCGAGTGAAATACAGTTGAATGATTCTGTTAAATCAGGTAGATTTACTTTCGATCGATTAAAATTCCAGTCGAAGGTTCTGGCGCGAAGCGGTCGATAAAGAAGAACTGTTTTACGACCGACAGAGGAGTTACCGACCGCAATTACCATGAAGTTGAACCGATTGTCGATAAGATAGATTCTGTTGAGTACTTAGTAAAATAAATATTTCTCTAATTTAATAGAATTTAGAGTTCGTTGCCCAAAATTTTAATTCTTTTGCTCTTTTTTCTAGAATAATCTAGTCATGTTTCTTTCGAAGCACACACATACAATGGAGACGTCGTTGGGTTGCGCGGAATCGAAAGCTGACGAAAACTGCGCGAATCGTGCACGCTTATCCGAAACGAATCGCGAGAACGAACCATCGCGTTTCGGAAACGGCGACGTGGCAGCCATGCTTTCTAACTTCTGCCTTTGAAATCGCGCTCCATCGGAGGACGTACGATAATATCAGACGCCCTCGTTAACATGCACAGTAAAAACATACGCAAACTATAAAGAAGCATCTCTGCTGCAAGTTAGCCTGACCCTGGATCCCCAATACCGAGTGGATCTTGTATTAAAGTATGAAAACCTAAGATCCTAAGCTCCTAAGACAATATCTGAAGACTCAATCCCTCCACAACGTTCTCGACAGTGATCCATGCAACAGACTATAATTAGTCAAGGACACTTCACATTCTAATGAAAAATGGTGATTGCTATGATGACAGAGGAGCCGTGACAGTGAAAGGACTCGGTACCAAGCACGTAGATCGCTCGAGGGCACTTTCTACGAATTCGTTGGGTTTTCCAAAGCGTCAGGCGCAAGGTTCGCGGAGGAGAAGAGGCTAACGGTGAGCGACGAGGATGGTTCTTGAAAGGAGACGAAGAACGATCTCTGAACAGCCGACAAATTGTCTGAGAACGACACTGTTCTCAGAGCTGGGCCAGAACGGGCAGGCGAATGGGGCATAATTAATTGTGATTGCAGATAATTAGCACCCGCGAGAATCTCTTCGTCTTGCGCAACGCGTACCCCTCCACACTCGTATGCAGAATCGTCGAGGACTTTCGACCGACTAATTTCTGTTCTTTCGACTTCAAGGAGTTTGGACCTGCAAGGCAATTGGAATTTTTTTTAAATTGAAACAAGTGGAGACTATGGAAACGAAAGCTGTGAAAAGCGTTGGATTAGAATGGCGGACGTGTCGCGACGATCTAAATTCCGCGGGGATCGCCCGTTTAACATTAGAGACACGGAGTCCTTTTGGCAAGAGGGTGCAACGATGGCTGCCCCACCTAGTTGCGCAGAAACACGGCGCAGAACCGCGGACGGGTTTCCAATCGTTCAATTATTCCATTCGCGGCGCGACGCGTTTCCGTTCCGGGACGGGAAACGATATGAATTCATCGCTGATCCATCGATCGAAGGCGTCTCGGATGCGACGATCGGGCGCAGGTGTTCGACATCGTTCGAAATGGAGGACAGTAGATCGGGAAAGTAATCGTCAATCGTTCGATTCGAAGAGTCAATTAACGGTTGTTGACTTTATGAGCCATTCTCTGCGAGAGTATCGACCTATTAATATGAAAAAAAAATGTTAATTCGCAAAACCTGAATCACGAATGTGTTTTTCGTGGTATCGATTGCTTGGTAGGAGCGGATTACCTATCTTCTAATTATTCCAACTATCACAGGATGCGATTAATTATTTTTCAAGGAAAGATCTTCACACAGGATGTTCTGTGTGGAAACGGAGATTTATGGAAACACGAAGACCTTCTGCACACCTTTACGAGCCAGTCTGGAATCTAAAAATAATTGCAAATTGTACTCGAACAATAAATGGTTTTTACAAGATTATTTAACGGGTATTTATTTATGTACCTTTTGTTGATACTTCGTCGTTTATTTACGACCATGTTTAAAAATTACGCGTTGGAGAAACTATGGGCAAACAGGTTCGCAACGGTGGCTCCCGTGAAATTAAATAACATCGTATATTTATGATCATAATATCGAAATATTCTTACGCAACCAATTCGAAAGGTTTATAGCTTCTACGAATTTCTAAAAAAAAATGCAATTATTAACCCGCGTGGAATCGTTGCATTATGCAATATTTCCCTAATATCAACGTGCGATTTTCTAGTTTCTGGTTTCCTAACCCAACTTTCCTTTTCTCGACTCGCATAATTCCCAACGATTTTATTAAAAACTAGGAAGAAGACTTTAAATACTAAATTTTTGTATTTGAAATAATATTTTGGTAGAATATTAATTATATTTTTTATGGTTTCATAGTGTCCATTAGTGTCTAACCTAACTTTCCTTTTCCCAATTCTCAATTTCAACGATTTTATTAAAAAATTCTCAAAGAAGACTCGATCTTAAACATTAAATATTCGAAATAACATTCTGGTAGAATATTAATTATATTTTTTATAGTTCTATAGTGTCCATTAGTGTCTAACCTAACTTTCCTTTTCCCAATTCCCAATTTCAAGGATTTTATTCAAAACTCTAGGAAGATGACTCGATCTGAAAAATTAAATTTTAGTAAAAATTCGAAATACTATTTTGGTAGAATATTAATTCTATTTTTTATGGTTTGATAGCGTCCATTAGTGTCTAACCTAACTTTCCTTTTCTCAATTCCCACCTGCAACGATTTTATTCAAAATTTCACAAAGAAGACTCGATCTTAAACATTAAATATTCGAAATAACATTCTGGTAGAATATTAATTATATTTTTTATGGTTCTATAGTGTCCATTAGTGTCTAACCTAACTTTCCTTTTCCCAATTCCCAATTTCAAGGATTTTATTCAAAACTCTAGGAAGATGACTCGATCTGAAAAATTAAATTTTAGTAAAAATTCGAAATACTATTTTGGTAGAATATTAATTCTATTTTTTATGGTTCGATAGCGTCCATTAGTGTCTAACCTAACTTTCCTTTTCTCAATTCCCAACTGCAACGATTTTATTCAAAATTTCACGAAGAAGACTCGATTTTAAACATTAAATATTCGAAATAACATTCTGGTAGAATATTAATTATATTTTTTATGGTTCTATAGTGTCCATTAGTGTCTAACCTAACTTTCCTTTTCCCAATTCCCAATTTCAAGGATTTTATTCAAAACTCTAGGAAGATGACTCGATCTGAAAAATTAAATTTTAGTAAAAATTCGAAATACTATTTTGGTAGAATATTAATTCTATTTTTTATGGTTCGATAGCGTCCATTAGTGTCTAACCTAACTTTCCTTTTCTCAATTCCCACCTGCAACGATTTTATTCAAAATTTCACGAAGAAGACTCGATTTTAAACATTAAATATTCGAAATAACATTCTGGTAGAATATTAATTATATTTTTTATGGTTCTATAGTGTCCATTAGTGTCTAACCTAACTTTCCTTTTCCCAATTCCCAATTTCAAGGATTTTATTCAAAACTCTAGGAAGATGACTCGATCTGAAAAATTAAATTTTAGTAAAAATTCGAAATACTATTTTGGTGGAATATTAATTATATTTTTCATGGTTTTATAGTGTCCATTAGTGTCTAACCTAACTTTCCTTTTCCCAATTCTCAACTGCAACGATTTTATTCAAAATTTCACGAAGAAGACTCGATTTTAAACATTAAATATTCGAAATAACATTCTGGTAGAATATTAATTATATTTTTTATAGTTTTATAGTGTCCATTAGTGTCTAACCTAACTTTCCTTTTCCCAATTCCCAATTTCAAGGATTTTATTCAAAACTCTAGGAAGATGACTCGATCTGAAAAATTAAATTTTAGTAAAAATTCGAAATACTATTTTGGTGGAATATTAATTATATTTTTCATGGTTTGATAGCGTCCATTAGTGTCTAACCTAACTTTCCTTTTCTCAATTCCCACCTGCAACGATTTTATTCAAAATTTCACGAAGAAGACTCGATTTTAAACATTAAATATTCGAAATAACATTCTGGTAGAATATTAATTATATTTTTTATGGTTCTATAGTGTCCATTAGTGTCTAACCTAACTTTCCTTTTCCCAATTCCCAATTTCAAGGATTTTATTCAAAACTCTAGGAAGATGACTCGATCTGAAAAATTAAATTTTAGTAAAAATTCGAAATACTATTTTGGTAGAATATTAATTCTATTTTTTATGGTTCGATAGCGTCCATTAGTGTCTAACCTAACTTTCCTTTTCCCAATTCTCAACTGCAACGATTTTATTCAAAATTTCACGAAG